AGGTCACATAGCATGAAGAACCAACAACCGATGAGGAAGAAAGGTTCTTGAGTAGCGATCCCATATAGGCAAACACAGTATAGGATCCCTCCACTAGTTGGAGTAACGACCTCAAATGCATGGCAGGGAGTCAGTGAATGCAAGTGGTCAGGACCGTTCGTTATGGCAGTCTATGGAGAATGCCTATATTCAGCAGTGGACAGATATTGATAGCTGACGATTATCTTTAAATTCAAAGCTCCACTTATTAGTTCAGGTTCGGATTTTAACAAGTTTTATGCAATAAGATTGTGTAGATGAAAATCTCATTATTAGTAAAACTTGATTTAAATTAATGATGTGCGAAAAAAACATACAATACATTAATTGGCCCGCTCTCAATTAGCGACAACCTTAAACTAAAAGTCGGATGTACATATAACCGAACGCGGTCCATTCCTTATGCGAATAATCATTATTTGACGGGGGAAAAGGGATTGTTAGTAATAGGGCTAACTGCCCCATTGCTAGCAATACACCCTATCAGGTCGACCTCCACATGGTTCTCCTTGAAAATCATCATGGTTAATTCTAGTGCAATTTGTCACGATGGGCTAACTGACCTAGAAAATAACGATAAAATAGAAAGATGTTCACTAAAAAAATCATAAATCTTCTATTAAGTTCCTACAAAGAAAGAGTTTCGATTGAAACGGGACAGCAGACAAATAAGAAAAGGATTTCATAAATTTTGTTTGTTACGACATTTTACAAAGCAGGCGAATTTCAACTACATGGGTAAATTTTGTTTCTTACGAGCTTTTCACAGTTCGGTGACGATATACCTATGAGGTGTAACAAAAAGGTTTAACAATCAGCCTCCTGGCCATAATTTTTTCTTTAAAATCTCGAAGTCGAAGGGAACAAGAACTTCTTTTAATGATACTAGGAACGACAAACAAACTGATAGCCCACCTGACAAAAATTGGTAGCGGAATATCACCGAATACCAATAATACTGATATTTAAGTAATCATAATTTTATTTAATAATATGTTATTTGTGATAACACTTCTTAAAAGTTATAATAAATACCTAATAGTGCAATGTAATGGGGGAGAAAGATTGTTAGTAATGGGGACTTTACTCTCCATTGCTAACAATATAGCCTGTCAGGTCAATCTCCACGCGGTTCCCCCTGGAAACCATCGTGATTAATTATTGTCAAATTCGTCGCGATGGGCGAACTGACCTAACTTTATTATCACCTATCATCTCTGACTGGTACTCTGGCAGTGTATATCGATAGCTCAAGTGGAGTTACCATTTCAGTGCCATCCATTAAAAAAATAGTACAATGTAATTAATAAAATATTATTAAAATAAATATTTATTGGCTACAGTTCTTTGAACAAATAAATAACTTAATATCTTATTGAGTCGCTTTTTTTAACTTTTTAAAAGGTATAAGGTGGTGATAAAAAATTAAGCATCATCAAAAGACTCAACTTTACTTGTGGAAACAATATCAAGTTCTCAAAAAGTTATTAAAACAAAGTTGTTTAGTTTAATGATTGAAATTTGAGTTCAAAGTAACACAATATTATAGAATTTAAAAGTTTAATTACAGATTTTGTATCTACACACACGTTCGTTTATTGATGTTATTATTATAGATAGTACAGACGGGAAAATTAGGCATATTCCAACTTTTTAATGAGACACAAATTCTAATGAATTTAGCGTCTATTTTCAACCGAAATAAAAAAAGAGGGTCTCAATCCAGTTGTATTTTTTTATGTTTATTACCTCATAACTTCATCAATAGTAAACCGATTTGGAAAATTATTTTTTTATCTGAAAGGACTTATAGATTAGTCCCATAAGATTTTTTTTTTAATTAATTAATTAATTTAATTTTTATACTAAAATAACTGGTTTTAGCACAATTGAACAGTTTTTTTATGAAACAATATTTAATTATATTATACAAGTTTACATAAATAATATTACAATAAAAAAGACATGTAGATACATTTAATTATCTATTTATTACGTACTTGTACGTCAACGCTAAATGACGCCTCTGATAATAATTTTCATTTACACTTCGGCACAATAACAAACATATGCATCATATTTATTCTTGTTTCAATTAGTCCATTCCTTTTAAACTAATTTATAATATAATTAAATGTATAAAATTGTATCCTGTCGCTGTATTCGGTATATTTTTTTTTTATTTTATTATTATTATTTTTTATTTATTATTTTATTTTTTAGAGCGCATTACGTATCATCTTTAAAAAAATGCGTACAACACGATTTCAGAGATGTTTTCTCCCACGAATACTCAGGTTATGGAATGAGTTCCCTACCAAGGTTTTCCCAAGAGACTACAGCATAGGGGTAAAGAGGTTTCTACAAAAGGGGGGTAAAGAGATTTCTTCAGGGTCGGCAACGTGCGCGTAATACCCCTGGTATAGCAGACGGTTATAGGCTACGGTAACCGCTTACCATCAGGTGGGCCGTAAGCTTGTTTGCCACCTCAGTGGTATAAAAAAAAACGTGTAACAAAAAAAAATTACTAAATAGACCACGTTGGATTGCGTATCAAAATAAAACAGACGAGATTTTAAATTCGACCTTTAGGAAGACAATTATAAAAACTACATCCAGTTATTATAGTAACTTTTACGGATACCGGAACAAATAGACAGAAATAAATTCTAAAAATTATTGTTTTGGCTTCTAATGTTCTTATTAAGATTTGTCATCATAAATTTTCCTTAAAAATCTCCTACGCATACACATTGCCTAGTTATAATTTTATTCTATGCATATCCGATAATCAATTACTATTGAGCAAATGTTTATAATAAACAAGCTGAGCCGGCGAAATTAGTACCGGTTCAGAATTAAATATGTCAAAGTGTAACTACTAAAAATTATTAGAAATCCAAAAAAAAAAAAAAATACGCAAAAACATTCATCACGAAAAAATACATATACATTCCAATTTTCATCGGTAAAACGATGTTGGAGTGAAACGGTAATATACAAATATATACATATTATTATTATTATATACGATATTATTATATAAAAAAATAATTTTTAACCCCACATGTAAAAAAGGTATGTTATAAGTTTGACGTATCAGTGTGTCTGTCTGCGAAATTGTAAGTTCTAAACGTATTGTAAGACCTGACGTAATCAAGATGGTTCTTAGCTTCAGTTCATGAAGTTCTTTTCAGGCGTTTCGGGGGTTTCTTGAAATTTTTAATTTAATTCAATATATTTAGAAGATTATAATAAAAATTTTAGTAAATCAATAAGTAACTGAGACGAATATAAAATACTAGCTTATTTCGTATTATAAAAATGTTAATTATTTTCATATGAACTTAATATAGGATGAATTGTACTGTAATTATAGAGGAGTGACATGAATACGGAAATAGGTTTTCGGTCGCAACAAAAGCGTACGCGTAGAGAATTTTTACAAGACATACTAGTCTGTTTCATTGTTAATTAGTTACAATAATATTATCAAATTTTATTTAATCGCTCTCATGATTTTTTCAGTACGAATTGAGTATCTCTTCCTTATTGGAATAATTTAATAGACTTAAACAAAATACTGCTGACTAGAAAAAATTACTGAATTATATAAATTTGGATCTTATTCAAACATAATCCAATACTACCTTTTGTTCGCAAATCCGTATTCGTTACTTTTGAAAGTAGTTATTAAAAGATACAGATTTTATGTTCTATCTTTATGAATAATTGTGGAAACCGCATCAAATTTTGTGCAATATTTTTTGCGTAATCCCAATACGTACAAACCGACTGATAGATAAAAATTCTAAACATTATTTGGACATTATTATTCTTATTAAGAATCCCTTATTTTGTTAAACAACATCATCTAGGTACAGTTTTATTTTACGTATATAGTTTTATTTCATTTAAAATAATACATTGATATTATAATAATTATATTTTATGGCATATAAAAAAATAATTAATATAGAAACCGATGTTAATAAAAATTTAATTCTGTTTGTTACCTACTGCATTACTCCGAAACAGTTAAACTGGTATAGTAATTATTTGAAAAAATTAGAAAATTGGAAATTTTTTTAGTAAAAAAAATATGGAATTTAATATAAGGCAATGTTCGTTGAAATCGTACGTAAAATGAACCACGAAAATATTATAATTTATAGACATATGAAGGATAATATAAATGGCTTACTGTTTACTTTGTTTTTGTTGTTTATCTCGCAGGTACCTTTTAACCCACACAAACATTTAACTGCCTTAAAATAATGAAAATATTTATATATATTTTTTTTTTAATAAATTATGAGTATGTACGCTCCGTACCGTACGCAATGATAACAATAAATTCATTATAATATTAAATGAAAATCATATTTGTGTGGTGTATTTTGAATATTTTAATTCTGAATATTATAAACGAAAATATGACTTAATTGAGTAGTTTCTTGTTTTATAGAAAATCTTCATTTATGGTCCAGATTATGGATATGATTTTGTTTGTGACATTTGTTTAATATATTTATTATTTTAATATTAATGAATAACTTTTCATAGTTTTTGGTAAAGAGTAGATACAACAAAAGAAAAATAATTTTATATATAACTTTGTTAATTGTTGTTTGTCTAAAAAATTACGGTGGTTTTGTCGTTTTTTATGTTAATAAGTAAAAATTTGATAAGTTTAAAATAAATTATAATTGTTATAATAAAAAACGATAAATTATTTACGTGTATGTAATTTCAATTACTATATTATAGCTATATTTTTGCAGCACTGCTCATTATTACAGACTGATTTTTTTTTTAATAAAAGTAGTAATATTTTAATAAATAGATTAAAAACTTTTTCCAAGTTTATTTTCCCTAATATACATATGAAACGTTAGTAATATTAGATAACACATAAACACCAGTTTGGTGGGAACAACAAAAGTTTTATCTCAACTTACCTGACAGCGGGCACGGTGCGAATGCGTCAACAGTGAATGGCTTTCGTGTCACTTGACCGATATGATCTCATTCAATAACAAAGTTTCAGGCATGCAAAAGCTTATATAGGTGACCGCTCCGCCCACCGCCCCCGGGGCGGGACGCAGCCCGCGCTACAACCTCCGTGAAACTTGCGCCAACTTCACTGAACTTCAAGTTTTTTCAGTGTAAACTTTAAACTTTACGAAATTTACTCACGGTTACTAAAAACACCTAAAAGCAATTTCTCAGGAAATTGTATGCCTCACATGTTATGTTATATTAGTATTTAATGAAAAAGTCATCTTACTTCGTACTAATTTTAATGAGGCACACATAACAAATTATAACCATGTTAAGTTTATATGTAGATAATTATGGTTTTTATACTAGGTTACGATTCAAAAACAACTAAACAACTAATGTAATATATGAAAAATTTTGTAAATTTTTCACGTATTCACGACTGGATATTGAATATACTTAAACGATTTAAAGAAATTTAGTACGGCTATTGATAGAACACAAGATCTTGAGTTTCTTTCTCCTGTCGGTCCTCAAATCCTGCGGTTTTGTCCTAGTGAATTATGTAGAGGGTCACAGTGAAAAAATAATATTCTTTAGAACAACAATATATATAATACGTATAGATACAAGACGAGACAACCATTTGAATAGAAACAAAAACTGTGTAGAAAAATAATATCGACATATATATATATGGCCAGACTTAAATTTACATTATGGCCACAAAGAAGTTTCAATAAATTACACTAGGACAAAACCGCAGGATACAACTAGCACTATAATAAAATTAGAAGAATTGAAAGGTCTCTAAGTAAATAAATTATTTATTTCGCGAAAATTAAATATGAAGACTAAAAATAAGAAATGGAACTCAATTACTTTTGCCTGTTTCTTTGACATCGTCGCAAGAAAATGACTAAACGGATTTCGACGAAATTTTACATTTGAATAGGTATTATTGGGAAAATGCCTAACTTAAAAAGTTGTATATATTTTATTAAAATCTGTTGACCAAATTATGAAATAAAGCTTGACCCCTCAGATTTATAAAATTGCGCACAATTTAAAGGCTTATAAATAAGTGAATCTAAAACATTTTTGTATTATATAATGTCAACCACATTTACAAAAATATTTAAAAATATTATAATAGTAAAAATAAATAAATAAATATAAAAATAATAATTAGAATGGGCTACCTCTTCCTGTCTCGTGGCTGTCGTAAGTGGCGACTAAGGAAACTAAATGATCCAGGGGATGGGCAGCAGCGTCCCTCTTAAAATATCTCCAAAGCCTAATGCCGGTTGCCAACCCATCTGCCAAGCGTGGCAATTATTAGTAAATCCCTCTTTATAGAGTAGTTTATGTCCAGCAGTAGACAGTTAATGGCTGATATAATAATAATATTATAAATAAATATCAAACAGGCCAAAAAATCACAGCCAAAATTTTACATGCATAGCCTAAAAATATGAAATATGGAGAAACATTACACGGCATTTTTTACATAATATACAGTATATCGAGGACTAAAGGGTAACAAAAAACCAATTACAATTGTGAATACACATACCAATATATGATAACATTTTTCATATATCTTACGTTAAAAATATTTCAGTTTAAAATGGTGAATCACAAGTAAAATTTCCCAACAAACAGTTTCTTATGAAATCCTATATTTAACAAAACAAAAATTTCTCACAGTATCTTATTATTTCACACAAAGCAGATAAAATAATAAGTTATATCTCGTATAAATAGAGGAAAAAATATATAATGGAGTTCCTTTTCAATAAAAACATTAATTCCCAGTGGAGGTAGCGCTTTACTTATTGTAATTGTAATGTAATAGCGCATTGACAAAATATCATTTCAAAAAATGTACCTACACGCGTACATAAACAAAATTCCATTACACTTTACTGATTTATATTTATTTAGTAATATACATATTCTACAAACTGTACTGTTCTACTTACTAAGAGAGTCGTAGCCTAGCGTAGTCAAAATCATTACGACTCTATCTTATCAGGGATAACAGTCATGAACATATTTATCTATTACTAGCTTTTTCCCGCTACTTTACGCAGTAAAGCGTAAAATAACGGGCAAAAGCTTACGCGCTTGAACTTACGCTTAAGAGTACGCGTGGATTTCAGAAGTAGGAAAACTAATGAAATGGACTACTTCTAGATGGCGTATCATACACCGGATAAAAAAAATTTACAATTTGAAAACCGCATTTAATTTGGTGTATCCAAGTTTTTGCGTGATGCCGGAATGAACAGACAGTAAAAATTTCTAAAAATTTTTACCTTAGCATCTATTGGTCTTATAATATGTTATATTTGAACTTTTGTTATATTTAAACTTAAATGTCATCATCATCATCTAATTATAATTTTACTATATTACTAAAATAGTAAGATTGATTGTTTTTTTATTTTTAATTCAATATCAATATTTACTACTTGTAATTATTGAATCTATAAATATTAGGGCACAAGTCATTCTCAGAAATAAAACCTGTAAATTTAATTTTGACTGTTACTAAAACCTTTTGTGAAAATATTAAATTTATTAATTTTTCAATGATGATTAGTTCTAAAAAATATTTGTATATTTACTTGTCCCATATCGGTACGTGAACATATATATACGAGTATATTTATAAATTTTAGGTATATCGAATATTTGAAGATTGAAATTTTTAATTCGTGATTTAAAAAAAATGTTTTTTAAAGCGACATAGGGATCCTAGAATCTAGAACAGACGCACAATACTTATTCCTATATTACAAACGGGAACAAACAATGTTGTCCTTTACATTCGTACACGCGTCATCGAACCCTAATCAATCACTCGTAGAAGGACTTGAACAGTCATGCAAATATTTATATAAAAAGTAATTAAAAGTCAATTTATGTGGGTAGGTGTCCGATATCACAGTCGTCTAATGTGACGACAAAATAATTACAATATCTGATTACAGTACAGCTAAAATTAGTATTTCATTTTACGTTAATAATATTTTTAATACTTTAAAATAGAGATTATATTACAAATAGATATAACAAAATATGAAAATGATCTTTATCCCAACGAGTATGGGACAATTTACACCTTTTAACACTAAACCTAAGAACAGTTTGGTTTATTTTAACAGTCAATACTAGTTACTGCTTAATTTAATACAAAATTTATGTCTGTCCATTACTGAAATGTGTTTATAGTTATGATAATTAAGTTATTATATCCAAAGCCCAACAGGAAAAATATCTGATAGTCCAAATTATCATTTGTTAATAAATTCTTTATTGATCACATTACAAAAAAAATGTTTGGTAGAAAAGGCGGATGTAATGCTATGTAGCATTCTCTCCTAGTTACTCTTAAAAAAAATAGAAAACTAATTATGCGGTGAAAAATATTGAAAATTGCTGTGGGTAAATATTTTTTCACACATAAATTATATAATTTATATAATGGACACACTACACATTGTAGTCATATAAATATACTAACATGAATATATTATATAAAATCTTACATACATATACATATAAACTATATTATCATGTACGTATACATACATATAAATACACAAAGGTGATCCTTTGATTTATATTGTAACTTTATTGGTTTATATTTACATTGTGAACATTTTTTTTTAAATTATCAATAATTGACAATATTAAGCATGTTGAATAGTCCATGCATCTTTATGTAGAAATTGTGAAAATTCATCCGAGATCCGATTACATTATACGACATCAGAGATACTTGGACTTTTAATACGCTCAATGATAGCAATTTTAAGAAAATGTTCATTATGAATGATAACTTGTTGAATATCTACAGCAATATTCAACATTGTTTATATTTATAGTCGATTAGTATTACTTTTAACATGGTGCATGTTTAGCTTGTGTGTGCCTACAGATAAGTCAAGTAAAGTGATTGTTAATTTCGGAGTAGATGTTATTAAATACCAAATACCAATTTTTATTTTTAATATTAACAAAATTTAACAAGAATATCGCTGATAAATAGGTATTCTAATTGTCTTGGCACGAAATATCTGAACATATAATACGCTTAATAAACCCCTGTATAATATTGAAATCTTTCAATATCTTATAAATATACGTTAATATACTTATATTAAATCTTTTGTTGTTTGTGTTAAAAAAAAAATGTTAAAAGCAATTCTGTGTTGTTCTTTAAATAATCAATTTTCGATCTCCCACAAATGTAATTAATATATGTGGGTATTTCTATGAAAAATTCACGACTGTGCTTGTGTAATCTCTTTTAACAGATGACTGAGTTCCACCTAATATGCAATTAAAAAATAATATAAAATATTTACGCCTCCAGAAGCTTCTTAATAATAAATAATATATATAAAACAAGTTCCATAAATCAAATAATATAACATAAAGAACTTACGCTCTCAATTTTAAGTCCATCTTGTATATATACTATACATGTACTAAAAAAGAAATAAATAAATAGGTATTGTTTGTATTATACGTCACTTATACTACTACGCGTTTGAGTGCGGCGGCATTTGGTGTCAACAATTTCTGGCCCATCAAGCCGACGACGGCCTCTTACGTATTTTGGCAAATTACTTTTCGTGCGTGTTCACATCTCCCAAACAGGTATTTGAAAACTTTTGGAGTTGAAGCTAAGATTCTATCTTGGAACCCTGAGACTTCAATCAAGAGTTTTACCTACAGAACTGTTACCGATCACATTACAGTTAGACTATAGAGATATATAGATAGATAACCTCTATATATGAGAATCTACCTAATTCTAACGCTATACATTTTAGTATTGCAATTTCAAGAATGAGACTATCATTGCCACTCATTGTCATATTCACCATGAGTTGTTCATGTAGAATTCCAAATACATAAATCCTTCCTCAAAAATTGTCCGTTTGTCTCAAGAATTAACGACGGGAGAGTTACGACTCTGATTTTCTAAATATATAGTCTAAACCTAGGCTA